TGAAATAAGAGCGTATCCTCAATGCATGGAATGCAACAATCATGGAAGTAGAGACCTGGGGCCTGGTAACGCCCACAGAAAGGAATAAGATCTACATTCTCTACCTCCCTGTGAGAGTATGGATCTACATTTTTTTTACTTTCCTGTGAATGTCTACATCATTTACCTCCGAGAGTAACTGTTTGCATTGTTTACCTCCATACTGTATATGAGAAATTATCTACATCATTTAAATCCATCTTCTCTTTCTCGTTTACATAAATGACCTACCAAATGCATCGCAACTACTCCAACCCACACTATCTGCAGATGACACTACATACGTCTTCTCTCACCCGAGCCCAGTCATGCTAGCCAATACTGTGAATACCGAATTACAGAAAATATCTACCTGGATAAGGACTAACAAACTTACACTAAACATTGACAAAACCTACTTCATTCAGTTTGGTAACAGAGCTGCAGATATCCCTCTTAACATAATGATAAACGGATTACCTATCACAAAGCTCACAGAGGGAAAATTTTTAGGAATCCACCTTGATAATATACTCAAATTTCAAACACATATACAACAAATTTCCAGGAAAATTTCCAAGACCGTAGGCATACTATCGAAGATACGGTACTATGTTCCACAGTCAGCCCTCCTGGCCCTATATCACTCAGTTATTTACCCCTATCTCACCTATGGAATCTGTGCATGGGGCTCAACAACAATAAACCATCTCAGACCACTAATTACCCAACAAAATGCTGCAGTCAGAATGATAACAAATTCCCACTACAGGCAGCACACTCCACCAATATTCAAAACTCTAAACCTACTCACCATACAAAACATCCATACTTATTACTGCACCTACTACATACATAGAACACTTAACTCGGATATAAACCCTCCCCTCAAACGTCTCCTTATCAACCTCTACAGAACACATGACCATAATACAAGGCACAGATCACTCTTTGATGTTCCTCGTGTCCATCTCACACTATGCAAAAACTCAATGCACATAAAAGGCCCAAAGATCTGGAATTCATTACCTGTGAATATAAAAGAAACACTGTCTGTTTATAAATTCAAGTCTCTTCTCAAAGATCACTTACTCACCCACAACCAAATAAATACTGAATAATTGTATCTCATAAATGTTTAACCTGTGACCCAATCAAACTTTGTTTTTTTTAATTACATTACCTAACAGAATACTCCATTCTACTGAATGTTCAGCAACACAGTAAATGACCATATGACCTGTCTTTGTAATACTCATTTGTGCTAAATTGTTAACTGTTTACAACAATGTTTACCACTGAATATATCATTGCTTAGTTAATCTTAAGTTAATTTTAAATCTGGCCATAATGCTCTGCATACAAGGGACTTTGGAATGTCACACTTAACCACTGTATTTCCTTGTACTTCTATGTATCATGTTCAAAGTAATAAATAAATAAATAAATAAATAAATAAATAAATAAATAAATGTGAGAGCGTATGCATAATTTTCATCCATGTGAGAGAACCTTCATCATTTACGTATACCTGGAGTTTACCTGGAGAGAGTTCCGGGGGTCAACGCCCCCGCGGCCCGGTCTGAGACCAGGCCTCCTGGTGAATCAGAGCCTGATCAACCAGGCTGTTGCTGCTGGCTGCACGCAAACCAACATACGAGCCGAGTGTAAAAGTACTATCTACATCTTTTACTCCCCGAGTAAGCACATCATTTATCTCCATATGTACTCCACACACACATGTGCTGCATCTCTGGACTGACACAGTTGTTCAATGGTAAACGTAAATCAATGCCATTTGCAGTCCTCATGGTGTGGCGAGAACCGAAGAATCACCTGAATGACTGTTACATCTGGTTTCTCGAATAAAAACCAGAGCAAGATAACATTTCCTGAATGTGAGTCAGCAATGAAACCTGTGTTACCTAGTGCGGACTCTCTGATACCAGTTCCACCTGTTGCTTACGACACTGAACGTGATAGTTGTGAAGAAACTGGTAACACGTATCTTAATAAGCCACCAGAATCTAAGACTTCGAAAGAACAACATTTAATCACTCTACAGGAGCTGAATGACCTTTTAAATGACCTTAACCTATCAAAATAGAAGGCAGAACTGCCGAGATCGTGTTTACAAGAGCGAAACTTTTCAACAAATGAAAAAATAATATATCATTTTCGTGCCTACTGTACTGCATATCATACTAGTTTCACGACATTCTATCAGATGGAGAATGCTTTATGTTTCTGAGCAAATGTGAATGGTCTTAAGAAGGAAATGGCCTATGAATATCATTCTGATGAATGGAGACTATTCATCGATTCCAGGAAGTTCAGTTTGAAAGCATTGCTCCTTCATAACGCCAATGTAAAGCCAACTGCGCCAGTAACTAATATTGTGAGATTAAATTAAACGTACGAGTCCATGGAAATTATGCCCAGACTAACAAAATACAATGACCAAAGTGGAATATATGTAAGATCTAAAATTGATAAGGGTAACATTTGGTCTCCAGATTGGTTATGCAAAATACATGTGCTTCCCTTGTTTGTGGAAGTCGTGGCCATGCTAACCACTACCAGATTAAAGAAGATAAGATAAGACCCTATTTCACGAAAATTCAGCATACAACAAATGCTACTGGTGTATTCTCAAAAGATATTTTTGCCACCATTGCATATTAAGTTGTGCCTAATGAAAAGCTTTGTAAATTCTATGGATGATGAAAGGGCAGGATTTCTTTATCTTAATAAAAAATTGGAGGAGTTTTAACTAACGCAAAACTTTAGGTCGGAGTTACTATTTGTTGGGCTCAAATATGTGAGCTGTTATCCGACCAAATATTCCCATCAAAAACTAACCCCTCTAGAGCTGGCTGCATGAGAAGCTTTAACACAGGTTGTCTAGTTAAAGCAAAACATTGTAGAAGCCTACAGAGCACCTGGTTGCTCTGTGTCCATAATATACACTTTTCTCATTTACGTCTGAGTTTCTTTCCAGCCAGTCTTAGTGCTGTTAGTGACGATCAGCACGGTGATCGTCAGTACAATAAAGTAGATCGTAGTACAATATAGGCAAGCTATCAGGGGTATTTCAATCTCACATGATGGGGGACTACTGTTGATTTCTTCAGACACACACTACTGATAGTCATAAGCGTAAACCCCAAATATTTTTTTTTACTTCCAGAGAGAGAATATGTCATTTAATGTCCTTGAAGTATTCATTATCAGTAATTTTATAACAGGAAATAACTTTTTTAATGACTCATTGTATTACATGGGCTAAATATTTTGAAATAATAACGTTTTTCAATAATTAAAAATCCTGATGTGTTCAGCTCAAATTTTATCTTAAATTGAATCAGAAGACATGCAATAAAAACACTTTCGCACCATGCCAAAACCCTTAGGGTTGGGAGGGGGGCCTGGGCCCCCACCTTTTTCTCATAAGACTGTCATTCCATTTCCCCCCCGGGGCGGGGGGTGGCAACCAAGAGGCCACTTTGGCAGGCCGGGGGCGTTGGTCCCAAAATGAGGATACTTGGCCCCCTCCAGGGAGACTAGGTCTCAGACACCCCTAAAAGGGAGCCAAGGGCCCGGGGGACCACTGAAAGGCCGGGGCCCCCCGGGGAATACCGCAATCTTAATAAAAAATAAAAAAAGAAAACTTTTTTCATCTCCGCAGTAAACCCAACATATTTTGGGTTTTTTCCCGTGTTTTCTTCCTGGGTTCATTTTCATTTTTTTTTTTTAAAATCTATTTTTGTTGTATTATTGTAATTATTTACTCTTATAGTATAAAAACCTTTTAGTTTTTTAAAAAAGGATGCCCCGTAAATTTTTTGAATCCCATTATTTAGGAAAGTCATTTAGACGGGGAAAATTTTGACAGAAACCCCGGAGATAGGCGAATACAGAATAAGAAAATATTATATATTATTAAATTTATATATATATATATAAAATATAATTTTAAAATATTATAAAAATTATATATATATAATATATATTATATAAGTATATGCTGGGCCCAAAAAAGAAAAAATGGGCAATTAGAAGAAATCATTAAAAATTAAATCCTTCTAAAAATTTTCTCTTTTACTTTACAATATATTTTTTTCATTTTGTTGATATAAAAAATTTTTAATTTTTTCACCAAAAAGAAACTTAAAAACTTGCCAAAACCCTTTTATAAAAAAACAATTATTTTACAAAACCAACTAAATGATTTTAGATTTGTTTACAAAATTTTTTTACTAAACAAACACAGTGAAAAAATATTTTTTCGTTTGGTTCGAATATTTTGGCGGATTTTGCAACACAAATTTTTTCCCTTGTCCAATGGGAAGATGAGCGTTGATTTAAGCCA